CCATGTTTTTTTTTTTTTTTTGAGACGGAGTCTCCCCCCTGTGCCCCAGGCTAAAGTGCAATGGCTCCAGGGCTCACTGCAACCTCTGCCTCCCAGGTTCAAGCAATTCTCCTCCCTTAACCTCTCCAGTAGCTGGATTACAGGTGTGTACCACCACGCCCGGCTAATTTTTTGTATCTTTAGTAGAGATGGGGTTTCACCATGTTGGCCAGGCTGGTCTCAAACTCCTGACCTCATGATCCGCCTGCCTAATGATCCACCCAGACCTAATGTTCTCTTTTTAAGAAAAAGCAAAACCTTTCTTAGAAGCCCTCCAGCCAACTTTCTCTGACTTCTCATTGGCCAGAAGTGTGGCCTATGCTCTTCCTAACTCAATCGCCAGCAAGGGAATTAGGCCACCATGATTGGCTTAGACCAGTCAAAATTCACCCTCTGGGAATGGAGAGGGAGGTCCTCTTCCCTGAATAGCAGAATATCTGGTCTAGCATAGGATAAATCAACAAGCCCGATTTCTGCCTGGGGGCAGGGAGTTGCTGGTAAAGGAGCTGCTGTGGCTTGTGGGGGTAGCAACCCACAGTGTCTGTACCCTCCTGCTAGAGGTGATGAAAGCTGAGTTATGGCTGTGGTAGTGACCCTGCACAACAAAGTCTTTAAAGTCCCCTGAAAATCATAATGGGCTCTGTAAATGGTTAATGTTACCAATGAGTAGCAGCCAAGCAAAGTTAACCAACACTAACACTGAACCCAGAGACAGGCCTTAAGGTCTGCTTGTGAATCATCATTTCTTGCCAAGTTTTCATCAACCTTGAAAGGAAATGATTCCAACAGCAGTATTCCACCAGAGTAGATCATTACATTTTTCCAGCCTAGAAGAGTCATAAACTGAAGCATGCACTCATTAATGAAGGAATGTTACTACCACTTCGTGACCCAGTGACCATGAAGTGGGCACCTGATGAATGTTTTTTTCCTTCTCCTCCTGGGCTTCTTCCTAAATCTGACTCATCAGTTTATTTGGTGTATGATTTTCATGTTGATATATTTCTCTAATGCTTAAAAAAAAAAAAAAAAAAAAAAAAAAAAAAAAAATAAAAAAAAACAAAAAAAAAAAAAAAAAAAAAAAAAAAAAAAACCCAAAAAATGGAAATTTCTAAGCAGCTTTATTTATAATAGCAAAACACTGGAAATAACCCAAAAGTCTATCAACAGGAGAATGGACAAACAAATTGTGATAGAGTCATACGGTGGAATACTGCTCAACAATACAAAGAAATATAACATGGATGATCCCAGGAGCATTATGTTGTATGGAAGTTGCAAAGCATGAAAGAGTATATACTGCATGGTTCTCTTTCTATGGAGGCAGGCACCTAGGAAGCAGGCTGAAGACCTGAATTAATGGAGAATGGCTTTGCCTCCTGCAGGCATCCCTCAATGGATGAAATTAGAGAGTTTGTGTTCCTCCAGGCTTATTTGTGCACAGGAAGTATGTGGATTCTCTGGTCCATCTGGGCCTCGGTCATTGGATGACATTAGAGAGGTTGGCCGGGCGTGGTGGCCTACACCTGTAATCCCAGCACTTTGAGAGGCTGAGGCAGGTGGATCACCTGGGGTCAGGAGTTCAAGACCAGCCTGACCAATGTGGAGAAACCCCGTCTCTACTAAAAATACAAAATTATCTGGGTGTGGTGGTGCATGCCTGTAGTCCCAGCTACTCAGGAGGCTGAGGCAGAAGAATCGCTTGAACTCGGAAGGTAGAGGTTGCAGTGAGCCGAGATTGTGCCACTGCATTCCAGCCTGGGCAACAAGAGCGAAACTCTATCTCAAAAATAAACAAAATAAAATAAGTTGTTTTCCTCCAGGCTTATTTGTGCACAGGAAGTATATGGGTTCTCTGGTCCATCTGGGTCTCTGTCCATCTGGGTTATCCTTTTCTGACAAGCCTCAGCTTTGTATGTGGCCTGCAGCTCCCAGTTTAGCGCCAACAAAGCCTTGAACCCAACTTTGGCACCCCCTGTCTGGCCTGACCCAAAGCCCCCCGTGTTGACCTGAGTGTTGAACAAATAGGGCCAAGAAAATAGGGTAGTCCCAAATTCTCTTCCTCTCCCACAGTCCCAGGGTCATCCTCTCCCACAGTCCCAGGGGCATCTTCAGGTGCTGGCACCAGCCCAAGGCATGAGAGGATGGCAGGAGAGAGAGCCACACAGAAGAGACATCCCCTCTATTCTAGACCTGCTCTAGGCAGGAGTACAACCCCTCTCCCGTCTTGGACCTGCTGCTCTAGCTCAGAACAGGGACCAAACAAGCTGTAGGAAGTGCAGACAAGAGGCCTCTGCCCTGGCCTTGTCCCCCACCCACTCCTACCCCTGCCCACTATGCACCCACTGGAGAATACAAGAGCATCATAGTTCTTCTGGCCGGGCATGGTGGCTCAAGCCTGTAATCGCAGCACTTTGGGAGGTCAAGGCAGGCGGATCACTTGAAGTCAGGAGTTGGAGACCAGCCTGGCCAACATGGTGAAACCCGGTCTCTACTAAAAATACAAACATTACTCTGGCGTGGTGGTGGGTGCCTGTAATCCCAGCTACTCAGGAGGCTAAGGCAGGAGAATTGCTTGAGCCCTACAGGTGGAGGTTGCAGTGACCCAACATTGCACCACTGCACTCCAGCCTGGGCAACACAGTGAGACTCAGTGTTGCCTTGGAAAAAAAAAGAGAATCGTAGTTTTTCATAAACAGCCTACTAGTAGTGTAATTAAATCAGTTTCTGTCATGTTTAGATATGCATTCTCAAAGTTTCTAAAATCTTGGCCTTTCTTCTCAGAATGACTTGGTTTGATTGTGTGAACCAGTCTTTCCTACCACAGAATCTGTTTCCAGCTAACCTACCCTAACCCTGTCTCAAAAATAAACAAACAAACAAACAAAATCAGCTGGACACAGTGCCTCACACCTGTAATCCCAGCACTTTGGGAGGCTGAGATGGGTGGATCACCTGAGGTTAGGAGTTTGAGACCAGCCTGGCCAACCTGGTGAAACCCTGACTCTACTAAAAATACAAAAATTAGCTGGGTGTGGTGGTAGGCGCCTGTAATCCCAGCTACTTGGGAAGCTGAGGCAGGAGAATAGCTTGAACCCAGGAGGTGGAGGTTGCAGCGAACCAAGATCATATCATTGCACTCTAGCCTAAGTGACAAGAACAAAATTTCATCAAAAAGAAAGAAAGAAAGAGAGAGAGAGAGAGAGAAAGAAAGGAAAGAAAGAAGAAAGAAAGAAAGGAAGAAAGAAAGAAAGAAAGAAAGAAAGAAAGAAAGAAAGAAAGAAAGAAAGAGAAAGAGAAAGAAGAAACATTCATGTGTAAAGTATTTGCACAGCACAACATGCCTTTACTAAACATGCCTTTACTAAAGGACCTTGGAAAAGGTAGTGGCATCATTAGCCCAATTTTAAACTAAAGGAAATGAGATTCTATGAGGTTACATGAATTCCCTGGGACCACTCAGGAAGGGCTGGAACTAGACCCCAGGCTTTCTGACACTGACCAGTGCTTCTTGCACTAGCCTTTCCCTCAAAAAGGGCAGGCTGCATCTTCACAGAGGAAGCGGACAAATTCTCAAAAGCAGGAACCACAGTTCTGACCCCTGGGGTTCTGTCATGGAGCAGAGAGTGGGGCCTCTACATGGAAACTAGGCCAGAGAGAAGTGCCAGATGCACCCCAGGAGTGAGCCTGGAGCAGTGCCCTGACCTCTTAGGATGTGTGTATTCCTGGTTACCAGCCCTTGCCCTTCTGTTTGCCTGGCATGTGCGAAGAGTAGAAGAAATACCTCCACTAATAAAGCAAGGTCCAAAAGGCTTTCAAGCCACTGTGGTCTCTGACTTTTCACCTTCATCTTCTATTTAGAAAAGAAAATGTGTGCACACTTGAAAGTTTCTTCCAAATGTACCTGTTGCTATTTTGAGGCCTTATCTACCTACGCTTAAATGATTATATTAAATCATTACTATGAGCCAAACAAGATTTTAAAAGTTTTTGTCAATGCCTGAAAACATTTTTGCAAGAGAAGTTAAAAAGCGAATATATGGGCCGGGCGCAGTGGCTCACGCTTGTAATCCCAGCACTTTGGGAGGCTGAGGCGGGTGGATCATGAGGTCAAGAGATCGAGACCATCCTGGTCAACATGGTGAAACCCCGTCTCTA